AGTTCAGCAGGGCCGTGTCATTGCTCACTTTAGGGATGATTGGGGTCAAGGGTCAGGCTCAAAGGCACAGATTTGATCACCCGGGTACCTACTTTCACCCTTTACACCCCATGTGGGATTCCAACCTGTGACCTGGTTACAGTGCTAATTCCTGTTACTCTGATTTGTAATTTTTTGCTAATTTTATATTATATATTATATACTAGTATTTGTATAATCAGTTTGGTATTGTATTTCTAAAGTTAATTCAGTACTTTATAAAATCCATCTAATATTTTATAAAAAAAAAAAAAAAGAATATAATAATGAAAATAATATAAAATTGTTTTATTTAGAATATTAATTTAGTATTTTATTCAATTAATTTCACATTTTATTTACTACATTAATTTTAGTGTTTTATTTATAACATTTAGCATTTTATTTGTAAAATTAATTAATCATTTTATTTACAAAATACTTTTCTAGTATACTTCTAGTCAATTTGGTATTTTATGAATACAAATTTAGCATTTTATTTTTAATACAGTTAAAAATAATACAATTAACTTCATACATTAATTCAGTGATTTATTTAAACATATAATATGGTATTTTATTAATACAATTAATTTTGCATTTTATTTACAAAATTAATTCAGTAGATTTTTAAAAATGTAATTTGTATTTTATTAACAAATATGTGTGTATGTAATACGTATTTTATTAGCGAAATTAATTTTGAAAATATTAATTTTGAAAAATAATTCAGTAGTGTATTTCAAAATGTAATTTAGTATTTTATTAATAAAATTAATTTTGAAATGTATTTATAAAAGTATATTTAGTAGTTTATTTTAAAAAGTAATTTTGTATTACATGTACAGTTATTTAGCACTTTATAAAATCAATTCAGTAGTTTATATATATATGTAATTTGGTATTTTTTTATTAAAATGAATTTAACATTTTATGTATAAAATTAATTTACTATTTTATTTATAAAATAAATGTATTTTGTACATTATATTTATAAAAAAGTATTTGCTATTCTTTTGTTATTATTTACATGATTCAAATCAATATGTGGTTTCAGTATAGGACTTGTGATCTTGTGAAAATGTGATCTTTTTGTCATCTTTATTTAGACAGTATAGGAAGAACAGAATTCTGTGGTAAAAAGAGACCGATATATGATCAGAACATTGTTTCTGCTCAAATTTGAACCTGAGCTGCTGCGAAGAACCAGTAGAGAGAATTGTAAGAGCCCAGGCCCGTATGACATCTTTTATAGGATAGATTACGCTGTTCTTTGAAGCCTTAGGAAATCCATGCAACAAGATCTCAGCTGTTGCAGCTCTCCAGCGTCATATTACCAGGAGGCTGGCTTGCTTTTTGACAGATTCTCATGTGTGTCTGAGCCGGTGTGGATATCAGCTGCGCTGTGACCTTGCCTTACCACATGAACACGTGCAAATCTGCTCAAATACGGCACTGGCTGCTGCGAGATCCTGCATTGATCTCTCTCTGCAGTCTTGCCCAAGTTTCTGTCTGTCTGTGAGATGGACAGAGATAGAGAGAAACTAATTGAAGAGGTGGATGGTAGGACATATCGATTGAGACTAAACGCTTGAGAGAAGAAGACACCAATGAGCTGCTGAGGAGAGATGCAAGATTTATGCTTTGAACATTGCCAAGCGGCAAGTCTGCAGCGATCCGATATAAATAATCAGTTTCTCGGTTTCTAAACGTCTCTGAAGATGTTTACTTGTGCCTCACAAATGCTAAAAAGATGTGGGAGTGAGAACAAAGTGCAGTTTGTGCGATATTTCCACAACCCCACCCATAAGAAAGAAAAATCATGAATGAGATCTCTATAAAATCTCCATTGTTCTCCTAGGCTTTTTTTTACGGGCTAAAATTTGCCAAGATTGAGAGTAATTCTTGTATACTTCAGTCTCTTAAAGGAATAGTCCATTAGGAACAGATTTGGAGAAATGTGTCATGCCATCACTTGCTCACCAGTGGGTCCTCTGCAGTGAATGGGTGCCGTCAGAATGAGAGTCCAAACAGCTGTTAAAAACATCACAACAATCCACAAGTAACCCACACCACTCCAGTACATCAATTAATGCCTTTTGAAGTGAAAAGCTGCATGTTTGTACCATATAACCATTGCTTCTGGCCAAAATAGGAGTCCGTAATTCATAATAACACGTCCTCCAGTGAAAAAATCCCTCCCCTGTTGTCCTCTAACATCAAAATCCACACACATATTTGTTTCAAACTGTTTTGGATTTGTATATTATTGGACACTCATTGTGTGAATGCTCTCTACTCTTAAAAATAAAGACTCTTTATTGGCGTCAATGGTTTCATGAAGAATCTTTAACGTCCATGGAACCATTCCAAGGTTCTTTATAGAGGAAAAAGGCTCTTTAGATTATTACAATTTTATTCACACTAAGAACGAAAGCGGTTCATTTAAGAACTGTTCATTGAAAGGTTCCTTGGGGAACCAAAAATAGTTCTTCAATGGCATTGCTGTGAAACCCCTCTTTTGAATCGTCTATTTTTAAGAGTGTTTTTTCAATCAAATGGATTTCAGAGCCTCAGTGGTGCTGCTTTTCCGGGGTGTGACTGTCATCATTGCTGTTAGCAGTTACGCAACCCCTCCAACACATTATTAAGACACACATGCACAAGAGAGATAAAGGGAGTGTGCATCGCTCTCTTGAGGATTCACTGAATGAATGAATCATTCTCAGTTTATGACTCTTTTCCTACACAAAGCATCACCTGTGATGTTCAAATCTAAACACAGCTGTGGAGCTTTTGTATTTCACTAACACTAACATAGCACTTGAGTTCCATTAATCAGAGGTGTTTATTATTGGCAGGAATCGCTGTTGCTTAGTGGTATTGTTAATGTTAACAGAAACGAATTAATCTTAACTATTAATCACAGATTAAAGTGAAGCTGAAATAAAAATAGATAAATATTAGGTGAAATTTAAACTTAAAATGAAAATTTGAAATGTTGTCTTAGCAAATAACTGAAATAAGTTGAAGTAGTAAAATTACTCAAACTAAAACAAAAATAAATGAAAGCTAAACAAATATTATAAAAACGAATAAAAATGACTAAAACACTAAAACTTACATGAAAACGAAGACTGAAAAATATACTAATAAAAGCTAATTAAATATGAATAAATACTCCAATATATTTAAATAATACTAAAATAACACTGATACTAAGAGTTAGGGATTTGAACAAACTCCAAAGTCATTATCTAATGCAGTTGTTTTGCATAAATTGTATCACTTTTATGGCTGCTGTGGGAACGTAAATCCTGCCTTTAAGTTAAATAAGCCAACCAGCTTATTGATCATGCATATGCATTAACTGGACCTGAAAATTTGAGCTAAAGAGGTAAAAAACGTTATGTCATTGTTGTCAGATTATATTCAAAATTAAATTATATTCAAAGTTTCTCTTTTCATCATTCTTTAAAGGAATAGTTCACCCAAAAATGAAAATTTGTAAAAAAAATTCATCACCCTCAGGTCATCCCAGATGTAGATGAGTTTGTTACTTCATCAGAACAGATTTGGAGAAATTACATCATTTGCTCACCAGTGGATCCTCTGCAGTGAATGGGTGCCGTCAGAATAAGAGTAAAAACATCACAAGTAATCCACACCACTCCAGTACATCAATTAACATCTTGAGAAGCAAAAAGCTGCTTGTTTGTAAGAAACAAATCATTGATGTTTTTAACTTTAAACCATTGCTACTGATCAAAATACGAGTCTATAACGCTTCCTCCAGTGAAAAAGTCCATCTCCTGTTGTCTCTCACATCAAAATCCACCCACATATTTGTTTAGAGCTGTTTTGGACTGTTTTGGCTTGTAAATAATGCTTTTCCTGATTCAGATGAGTCAACGTTTTCACTGGTGAAAACAACATTATGGATAGAGGACTTGTATTTTAGCTGCAAACAACGCTTTGAAGTTTAAAATATCTTCATGATGGATTTGTTTCTTACAAACACAGCTTTTCACTTCTCAAGACGTAAATTGATGTACTGGTGTGGTGTGGATTACTTGTGGATTATTGTGATGTTTTTATCAGCTGTTTGGACTCTCATTCTGACGGCACCCATTCACTGCAGAGCATCCATTGGTGAGCAAGTGATGGAATGCTACATTTCTTCAAATCTGTTCCCATGAAGAAACAAACTCATATAGTTGGCCAGTGGGTGATAGAGATATCAGCAAATTTTCAATGATTGGGTTAACTATCTTTTAATGCTAATCTAGTTAAAAGTACACCAGTCAGTGTGACTGCAGTCAACATTTGTTGGCTCTCATGTAAAACAGATCCTGTCACTTTAGTGTTATTGAGCTCAGGGC